CCTTGTTGCTAAGGCCCGGACCGTCATCCCAGCAACAGCCTCAGTCATGTGACCGGCAATGGTGGCGCTGACGAGAGGCCTGGTCAGCTGAGTGGAAATAGAAGGATTTCTGCTGCCATCATCTTCCATGGGCTTTCCAGGTCACACGACCTACAAGTAGGGAGCAGGGAAAAAGGAGTGAGCCTGCATGCCAATTCTAAGCTCTTCAGGATCAAATGTCGTTCATCCTGTCCAGAATGGCAGCCTGTGGAGGCACCTGCAAGAAGAAAATGACTGTCCCCAAGCCTGTGTGGGACTTCCTGAGCAAGGAGACCCCAGCTCGGCTGGCCCAGCTTCGGGAGGAGCACCGTGTGTCCATCTTCATAGATGGCCAGACTTCTGACATCTATGTTCTCCAGCTTTCCCCACAGGGCCCTCCCGTGGCCCCTCCCAATGGGCTCTACCTGGCCCGGAAGGCTCTCAAGGGGTTGCTAAAAGAGGCAGAGAAAGAGCTGAAGAAAGCTCAGAGGCAAGGGGAGCTGATGGGTTGCCTGGCTCTGGGGGTGGTGGGGAGCACCCTGAGATGCACCGCCCAGGCCCACCCCCTCTCCGAGCAGCCCCACTTCTGCCCCCAGGGGCTCGGGGGCTCCCCCCTCCTCCTCCCCACTGCCCCCACCTCTTCCTCCTCGCCTTCGGGAGGAGGCAGGAGAGCAGGAGAGCACCTGCCCCATCTGTCTGGGGGAGATCCAGAACGCCAAGACATTGGAGAAGTGCCGGCATTCATTCTGCTAGGGCTGCATCACCCGGGCTCTGCAGGTGAAAAAAGCCTGCCCCATGTGTGGCCGCTTCTATGGGCAGCTGGTGGGCAACCAGCCCCAGAATGGGCGGATGCTGGTCTCTAAGGACGCCACCCTCCTACTGTCCAGCTATGAGAAGTATGGCACCATCGTCATCCAGTACGTCTTCCTGCCCAGTGTCCAGGGGGCTGAACACCGAAACCCAGGAGTTCGGTATCCTGGCACCACATGGGTGGCCTACCTCCCGGACTGCCCTGAGGGCAACAAGGTGCTAACCCTGTTCCCAAAGGCATTTGACCAGCGTCTCACCTTCACTATCAGCACGTCCATGACCACAGGGAGACCGAATGTCATCACCTGGAACGACATCCACCACAAGACCAGCTGCACAGGGGGACCTCAGCTGTTTGGGTACCCGGACCCCACCTACCTGACCCGGGTGCAAGAGGAGCTGAGAGCCAAGGGTATCACCGATGACTGAAAGACACCCCGTTTGCCAAGGCCCCTGCTGTCCACCTCTACTAGGATCCAGCAGAAGCCTCTGTTCTCCTCTCTGTCCCCTGCCCCCGACACCACACCTGTAGGGGACCTGTCTAATTGGGAAGGGAGTTCAGAGTGGGAGGGGGGCAATCCCTTCCCCCGTCCTCCACTGGCCAAGTGTTTCAGTGCAGTGTGAGCCACTCCCTTCTGGCAGAGGCCGACCTCCAAGGCCCTGTTCCCTGCTCCCCATGTACATGTACTCCCGGTTTCCCTGCCCCTCCATTGCCCTTGGCTTTTTCTGGTATGTGCTGTGCTCCATGACCAAGCTGAGAGAGGACCTAGGATGGGGAAGGGAGGGTCTGTTGATCCCCCACCACCCCCACTTAATGCTCCACTGCTGAACTTGGGGTGCAGGGGAGAAGGAATTGGCTGATGTAAGCTCCCCGCCACCCCCCATGGAGCCGGCTGCCTGTGTTCATCAGATTCGCCCTCAACCTTGTCCTTTCTTGCCTGTGTCTCAGTCTCCATCAGTCTCTTTCTCCACTCTTCTCTGACCCCTATGAGGAACCTCCTTACCTTGTTCTGGAATCGCTGCCAGACTGTAGCTTTTAATTTAATAAAAATAAAGTAAAATATGCAACTCTTAAAAAAAATTGCTGATTCTATTCAATCAACAGGTGGTAAATATTTTGCTCTGATATATTTGGCTGACCTGGTCTGTTTAGTGCCTATTCCAACAGCCTCTCAGCTGAAGTTTGCTCTGCTGCTGAGGGGACACCATATGCCTTTCCAGGGTACCCATGGGGGACCTCCACAGCTTTGTCACCATACACAATTTTTGCAGACAAGATCTTAATGACAATCCCCTTCTCCAGGAATATAGATACAACATTGAATCAAGGAAGTCCTACTCCAAGGAAATGCATTTGATACATACATTCAAAACATTTAAGCCCAATATTTCTTAATACTTTTGGGCTCTGGTGGCAACATTTTTCTCACTGACAAATTTTATTGCTAAATTGAAATCAACAGGCACTCGTCTGTGTGTAATCTCAAAAACTCCTTTACTGTAAGCCTTTGGCAAGCTCTTGCAATGCCTCCTGGAGTCTCTGGGTCAGCTATGATGGTCACTAGTTGCTTCAGGGCTTCTCATGCAAGATATTATCCCTCTTGGCCTCAGGGACACATTAAAACAACAAATGACTGGCTACCTATGGGCTGTTTTGGAAGTAGAGGCTCTCACAGACTGTGACCCTCCATACCCAGTTGCCCATTATGCTTTAAGTCACGGGAACATCACCCCACAAGCTCAGCTCGGCTACCAAGGCCTCCCTAAGACACGATGGAACCAACCCTGGGCCCTCTGGGATATTCCACCTGTAGGAGGGGGTGGCCTCCTCATTCTCTCAGTCCCTTGCCAGATGCCAGGGTGCTGAAGGAGGTCACCCCTCCCCCAGGCCCCTTGGCTATCTAGGAAGCCCTTTGGTGTTAACTGAGTGAACAGGAAGGGGAGTTCATGGATTTTGGAAACGGCATCATTAACCATCACACGTGATGCAGCTTAGTGGAGAGCTGTTGCTTTCCAACCCTTAGCAAGGATGATGAAGGATAGAACCCAAGAAAAAACACATTGGTCAAACTTCAGGAAGCCATCCTAGCACTGGCTGTCCTGGCCAAGAAATGGCCAGCTTCACATTCATTATTAATTATTGGGCCACTACCTAAAAATTGTTCCCATCAAGGTAAAAAACAAATAAACTCTGGGAATCTCTTATTTCACAGACATCCAAAGTATAAATCAAAATCACATAACTCCATGTATACTAAGAACACAATGCAAGGCCTTGCTAGTTCACTGCTTGTTTCCTTCCGAGTTATAGACATTACTAATAGTTATGAAGGCACACATTTCACTCCTTAGAATACACTATGCTGGGCTCCTGGAGGAGGCATCCAATAGAACCTTCATGTCCCTGACAGGTCCCAATGGTGACTTTAATGATGTCCTCAAACAACTTCTTTTCCAATTCCAATACAATAAATAAACTAAAGATCTTGAGTTTACCCCAGGTCTTAACCTATTTTTATAATTTCAATCTCACTCCCATCCCTCAAGAGTTAGGGGACAGATTAAAGATGCATATTCTCCTGGAACTCATAACTGTAGATTGTTCCCTACACCGGGCAGCTGCTCATCTGATCTGGGACCCATCTGAACCCAAACTTCCACCCAAAACAAACCCTGTCAGGTGCAGCCACACGCTGTTCTGCCAATGGTGGGTCTTATCACTACTGCCTTGGCTGCTTGCATTAGTTTACAATCGGAGGCCCCAAATCCTCAGCAGACGGCTGTTTTCACCAATTATGACAAGTGCTGAGGCCCACATTAACTCCAGTGGGTCCCCATGAAAAGGACACACCTGTCCCGCCTCCCAGATGACATTGCCTTTGCCTTGTAATTCGCCTCTGAAGGTGCCATTTCCTCAGATGACACGCCTTAACCCAAGATCTTGATGTTGGAGATAGCTTTGCCCCCGGTGCCACAGATGGCTTCACTCCTTGCACTAAACTTGCACTCCAGTGATGCCCATGGACTGGCTCTGCTAAGACACACATGGACACCGGGCATTTTTGCTTTTCTTTCTGTACTCACTGTGTCCTTAGCCCATGATCTTTGTATACTCCTTACTCTCTGCTCAAAGGTACAGAGCCACACACCTCTAAACCAAACTTTAGCCTGCTAAAAGCCGATCTAGAAGCAATGGCTCAACAGATAACAGGCATTTTGTAACCTCACCCAGGTTCACAACATAAATAAAGAGATGTTCAACATTAGTGATCAGGAAATACAAATCAAGAGTAAAACTAGGTCTCAATTTATACCCTTGCAAGAAAAGAAGTCTGACCACACCAAGTGTCAGAGTGGGTCCATGGTGGGGGGGGGTCTTTCATTTCCTGGGGAGACTATAAATTGATGTGTTATTTTGGAAAACAGTTTGGCTCTACTCCCAAACTTGAACATTCACACATTCATAGTCCAGCAGTTTCTCCTGCTGTGTGGAAACTGCGGAGAGGAGAATGAGGCTAGAAAGTAACAGAGAGGCCAATAAGGAAGACGGGGCCAGTCTATAAACGAGGCTGTCTGGGAAAGGTAGCCATGCATATAAGGCGTTGCCTGAGAAGGTTGATAAAGGCTATACAACCCCTTCTCTTCCTACTTCCTTAGCCAGGCTCCAGCAGGTAGATTCAAAGGTTTCTTGTAGGAAAGAAGTCCCTGCCTCAGCAGGGGCAGAGAGGTCTTGTGGCTGGGCTGGGCTGGGTGTGGCACTCTCCCTGCCCACTTCTACAACCTGGGGCAGGAACAAAAGCCTGTGGGTGCCTCCAACCACAGCAGAGCTCAGAGAATCTGCGGGAGCCAGGCTGACCCGCCAGCATGGTAGAGTTTGCGCCCTTGTCTGTGCCGTGGGAGCGCAGGCTGCAGACCTTTGCTGTCCTACAGTGGGTCTTCTCCTTCTTGGCACTGGGTAAGTTGGGCTGCACTGTGGGGTGGGAGACCACTGCACTCAGGTGGGGCAGAGCAGCCACACCAGGTGCACGTGGCGCATTGATGGTGAAGAAGACATTTATCTTAAAGGGGCCTTTATTGCACTCATAGCTCCTGCCCAGAGAGAACTCCTGGGCCTGCCCAGAGGCTTCTTGGGGGTGGAATGGGGTAGAAGTCACCGTCTGTGGCTCTGGACAGGTTACTTACCCTTCCTGGATTACACTGTGGGTTCTCCTTTGGCACTTGGATGGAGACCAATCTGCAGGCTGCCAGGTGGTGTGGGAAAGCCTCTGGGTGATGATGGGAGAGTTCCGGGCTCTGCAACCTGTTCAGAGAGGAGGGATTTTCCTTCCGTGCTCTCAGAGAGGAGGAAACCAGGGCTGGTAGTATGGTAAGCGAGAGAAACAGGGGAAGAACAGGAGGTGGGGGAGAAGGTCCAGGCAGAGAGTGAACTGTGGAGTGGGCATGCTGGGCACCAGGAAACCTGGAGTCAGACTCAGTTGGGCAACTGACCAGTTGCATGACTTTGGCCAGCCCATGCTTGACCTCTCCAAGCCTCAACTTCACCCTCTGCAGAAAGGGGACAACAGTGCTGGCCTTGCAGGGCTCTTGTGGAGGAGATGGAGAAATGGGCTGACCTCTGCTCAGCACAGACCTGGCCTGGGCCCTGGGCTGGGCTCACACTGGCAGGCATGGGCACGTCTCCTAACCCACCCCACCACTGATTTGTGGCCAGAGAGATCACCCTTGCCCAAACAACAGCTCTGCCGAAGGTAACATTTTCTAGCAGGGCCTGGATCTGGGGCTTGGGAAGAGAGAATGACTGGGAATCTGTGGGATTTTCCTTTCATCTGCTGGCACCAGACAGGGTAGGAACTGCTGCCTCCAGGGCTGGGGTTCAGCCCATACACAGATACCACTTTCCTGGTTGTTAAAATGTTGACTCTCTCTCTCTTTCTCTCTCTCTCTCTCAAACACACACGCACACACACACACAAACACACATACTTCCTCAGAAACTCCCCTACACTTTTGTAGCTAAAAAACTCCCCCTTGCCAAAGCAGGCCCTCCAGGACCCTGCTCTAGCATCTCTTCTAGTCGAGCTGCATCTCTGTTCTAAGAGTTGTTCGACATTTTACACATCCCTGTCCTCCCTCCCTCCCCCTTTCAACAACAAAAGTCATTGGTCACTGGAAGCAAAGGAACCGGAGCTCAGCAGGGTTTGGAAACACTGCATAGTTCAGAGCGGCCACAGACATGAGGCAGGAGCCAGAGGGACAGGGCCGGCTCTGGGGCTCCTGGAGGCCAGGCTGATCTGCCAACACTTCCTTCTTCCCTCTGCAGCTGAGATCTGCATTGCGGGCTTCATAGCCCTCCTGTTTACAAGATTCTGGCTCCTCAGTGTCCTGTACGCAGCCTGGTGGTACCTGGACCGAGACAAGCCGCGGCAGGGGGGTCGGCGCGTCCAGGCCGTCAGGTGCTGGACCATGTGGAAGTACATGAAGGACTATTTCCCCATCTCGGTGAGTACTGAGGCTGGTTGGGGTAGGGGAGGGGGTTGGCTGGGGTGTAGTCATGGCCTGAGTGCTCTCATCTCCACGAGAGAGTATGGCCCTGCATGCATTTGGAGAGTACTGGGCTGGGAGGCAGGAGCTAGGGCTTCCGCTACTATGTGACCTGGAAAAGAGTCCAGCTTCTCTACCATCACAGTTTCGCATCTGCAGGGATGTGGGGCCAATACACGGATGGATGAATGTCCAGCGTTTGAAGGAGCTCCATGGGGTATATGGTGTGAGGCACGCCTATGTATCTTAAAGGCACAAACCCATCAGCACCCCAGGCTTGGGGGTGAAGGTAATAAACTCACAGGTCCTACTCACAGGTCCTAAGGACCATCCAGCCTCACACTTAACATTCACCGGAAAAGGAGGCTTGACACTCAGAGAAGGAGGGAATGTCACCAAGTTCACACAGCAAGTTCTTTTACAGATTTCTAAGTGTGTATACTGACTGTGGATAAAGGGACAGGGGAGAGAGCCCTGAATTGTTCTCAGATCCTACCCTGCCTCTAACTCTGGCATGTAGTGTATCTTTGGGCAAAGCCTTATCCTGTTCTGAGCCTCTTTCCCCAGGTATCTAGTAGTATACTGATCCCTCCTCCTCTGCATGCTTTCCAATCTCTGGCTTTCCAACTCCTGTCACCTCGTGTTCATTGTGGACACTTGGCCCTGGACTTGAAGATGTGTCTAGAGCAGATCCCTGGATTTGAGACCTTTTGACTCCTTCAGTGGAATCCCAGGCAGTCTAAAGCCTTAATCTATGCAGCCAGGCAGTGATGGTTTATTGGCCAGATGAATAGGATGGGGCAGGCAGTGGGGATGAAGAGAAGGGACAGGCAGGGGCAGTTGGCCCTCCTCTGGAAGTAGAAGAAAGGGGTAAGATATAGCCCCTGGAGATGGGCAGACAAGATTCTGACCCCAGGTCTTCCCATACCATACCAGCTATATGATTGTGGGTAAGTTAGTCTCTCTGAGCCTCAGTCTCCTCATATGTAAAATGGGGATAATGCCACATACCTCACTGGGTTGTGTAGATTCAATGAGGTGAATCAGGTAAAGCACCTTGCAGGTTTTCAGTAAACAGGTAGTATTATTTTCCTGAGGCAGTGGGACTCTGAGGAGACGTGGACATGACCTTGAATCTGGGAAGGACTCTGAGAGCCTAGAGCCCTGCTGCTCTGACCTCCACACCTGCAATGACTTCTCCCTCCCCGTCTGGGAGCCCTACCTCTTCCTGTCCTTCCAGAAACAAGGTCTCCAGCTGGAAAAAGGGGAGGGGCAGGGAAAGCAAGTCCACCAAAGCTAAGCAACTTGTCTGAGTTATGGGAATGCAGGGTGGTGGGGGCTCCTGCCCTGCTTCCTTCTGAGAGTCCTGAGGTCCATGAAGGACTAGCAAAGGCCGAGCCACACTGGAATGCAGGAGTTTCTACAGCCCAGTGAGCAGGGCCTCCAGGGCAAAGGGCAAGGGAGGTGCTGGGCAAAGGGCGAGCAGCGGCTGGCAGAGACTGCCATGCTCACAAGGGATGATAGATGTGAAAGGGCAGAGCATGGTCTAGCCTGGGGAACCCAGGAGGGGGCAGTCTCCCCTCCCCCTCATATGCGCTTCCTCTGCAGGGCCCCCTCCTGGGTCTTGTCAGCAAAGAAACTTAGGGCTTGCTGGGTTCTAGGACCAACCATGGACATGTCACGGGCAGAGTCTTCATCCCCATCCCAGAACCTCTGCACGTTGAGATTGACCTCCCTTTCCTGCCTCTCCTCTCTCCAGCCTGGGCTTCCTCTTGTGTGCCAGGAAGGTCAGAGTTTCCCTGGGAAAGTGTGCTGCGGCTAGCCTGGGGAGGTGTGTGTGACATCAGGGACCAAGCCAAAGAAACCTTGGAGCAGGTTCTGGCTCTGACCTCACTTCCTGCTCCAGAGCTGCATCCCAAGCTCACCGGGGGGAAGAAGCAGCCTGAAAAGGCAACCACACAAGCACAGGCCCAGACACTTGCCACAGGGTGAGTCCTGAGCCACAGCCTGACATTCAGCATGGCTAAAGCAGAAGGCAGGCCTGCAGACGAGTCTGGGGAGATCCTCAGGTCAGACAGTGGTGGCCACTGGAGGCCATCCCGCAGGCCTGGGACTGCTCATCTCCCGGGGTGTCTTCAGCCAGCCCAAGGGCCTCAAAAGACAGCAGCTGGCCTTCTTTGCACCTGGAGCGTTTCCTGTTGCAGGTCTGGCAGAAATGCTGACGCAGCTCTGTGCCTACCCTATCAACATCCATCCTGCTCCTTCCCCAGCCAGGTGGCTCTTGAGGAGGGTATCTCAACCTTAGCACTGTTGACACTGGTGGGACACAGGCCTGGATTTGCAGAAATTCTATGTGCACCGTTTTTTGTTGTTGTTGTTTTTTCCGGGATTCTCGCTCACTGCAGGCCCCTTGCAGCACCACCTGCCAAGGGCAATGCCACGGAGTGACCAGCAGAGGGCGGGATGATGGTCACTTTGACTTTGTCCTAAGCTGGGCCTGCGGGGTGGGGCTGTGGCCTGCAGACTCTCTTTCCACAGACCTGCCCACCCTCCCACACACCTTCAGTGCCCAGGCCCTGCAGGGATCGTGGGGTGAGCAGACAGTAGGGAGGCCCAGCTCTGCTGAGCTCCTCTCACATTCACAAATCTCTGTGCTCCCCTGCCATACAAATGTGGCCATCCAATGATTGCTGAGCTTTTATCAGTTCTTAGCGTGTCTTTTTTTTGAAGTAGTGCCTGGTGATGGAATTTCAAGAAAAATTCAGAAACCGTTTCTGGGCCTCGGAGCTTTCTAAAGTCACCCAGTCAGCTCCCCAAAGAGCTAATGGTGGAGGTCAGGCAATGTTTTATGTGGGAGGAGCTGTTCCCACCCGAAACTGAAGACCCACCCAGTCGCTGGGTTAGCCCGGTGCTGAAGATTTCATCATCCAGAGCGAACGCTGTCTCCACAGGCCAAGGCCTTAGGCACCAAGAGCTGTGGCCAGGGCTGTGACCTGCTGTTAGGAAATGCTGCCTACATCGCGCCTGTCACTGTCAGAGCCAGGCTTGGGGCAGCGTGCAGGCCACCTCCCTGACCCCACCCACCCATACCTGTGACACAGCCTCAGCTCTTCTGCAGCCTGCCAGGCGCCTCTAGGGCCTTAGTGCCTGACCTCCTACCTGCCACCTCTCAGCACACTGGGGTCTCTTAACCCGAGTCAGTGAGACTCAGGTGGCCAACTTTCACCCAGGACAGAAACCCCAGCTTACACAATCTAGGATGCATGCTTCATTCTGAGATGGCCCGCCTGGTTATAGGAAGGCTCTGCCTGGGAAGTCTTCCTCATATGGAGCTGGGGCACATCTCCAGGACCCTCCCAGGAGTCTTACCTCTGCCATGGGCAGGGAGAGCTGGCACAGAGCACAGTGGTTCTCTTAGCCCCAGGGCTGCCTTGCAGGGACTGGGTTCCTCCCACCTTATTCTGATCCACTGCACCCCCTAGCCAGGTAGCTCTCCAGGTGGCTTTATCCACCTGGGCACCACTGACATTTGGGGCTGTATTATTCTTGGTTGTGGGGGCTGTCCACACCCCTGGCATCTACCCACTCAATGCCAGTAGCACTATCCCTCCCTGTTATGTTGTAGACATTAACAAATGTCTTCTGCTGGGGGAGGGGGAGGAGCAGGGGGGGACACACACTCGCCCCGGTAGAGAACCACTGCTCTAAAGCCTGGGCTCTGCCTTCTAAACTCCTCCAGCCTGACTCGTTTCTCCTCCCCCAGCCTAAGTCCTGACCACACATATCTCTTTATCTCGTCGACTCTACTCTGCCAATGCCCCCTGCAGTCCATCCACCACACTGAGGCTGGAATAATCCTCATAAAACGAGTGAACACAGCAGTGACAGTGACTCCCATGGCTCTTAAAGTCTATTTTTGCTGCAGCCTGCCAAGTCCCTGCACTCTGGGCCCCCGCCCAGGCCTCCGCCCACCCCTTACCTGCCTGTCCTCCCTTTGCCATCCGAGTTGCCTAGGCATGAGCCACACAGCTTGTGCTGGTGCTCTTGCTTGGAGTGCATCCTCTTGTCCCATGAATCCCCTTTCACTAAGGGCTCCTACTGGGTGGAGCCAGGCTTCTGGGGACCCTGGCTCTGAGTCTGTACTAGCTGTATGACCTACAACTAGTTAATGAACCTTGTGTCTCAATTTCCTCATCTGTTAAATGGGGGCAGTGATACAACACTTCCCTCATACAGTTGACAGGGGGTTAGGCAAGTTGGTCTACGCAAGATGCCTGGCATCTAGTAGGTGCTGGGAGAGTTTACCACCTCTGCTACTCTTTCCAGCTCTCAGGGCCTGGCACTTCCTGTATTTGTTCAACTCTAAGACATCCTCAATAGTAAAACATGCCAGTATTTCATGCACCACTAAGAGAAAAAGTTCCAATTAGAAATGAAAGGTAGATCTTAATTTCAAACTGTTTAAAGTAGGCGGGGAGAGTGTGCATGTTACAGTTGAGGGAGTGTGTCCATGGGTATCAAAGTGTGTCTGTGAAATGAGTATGTGACTATGGCAGGGCAAGGACCGACTGATAACTTATCTACAGAGAGTACTGGGAAGGCCAAAGCCCATAGGGCCACAGGGAGTTACAGCCAGGGCCAGGGAGAATATCCAAGCCTTTCCAACCTTCTAAGCTGGATGGATGGGGGGAGACAAGGAAGTACACTCGTTCACACACACACATACACACACAGAGAGCTAACCACCTGAACCTGAAAGGGGATTTTGGAATTTTGATGTGTAACCAAATCCCCTAGGAAATTTGTCACAAATAAGATGCCCAAGGCCAGATCAGACCCTCTGAATCAGACCCTGCAAGCCCAGCGTTTTTAACCCAGCAACTAATCTAGGCACATAAATAGGCCATGAACAGGCTTGCCCCACCCCAGGCCCTGGAGCACTGCGGGGCAGATTGTTGACGCGGGAGCCACTTTCTCCCGGGAGAAAGGAATCGAGAGAACCCTGGACCTTCCAAGTCTGACTAGCAACTGAAAGGACCCAAAGACAGTCCTGAGTGCCAGGATCTTTCCCTGGGTCTGGAACAGAGGCTTCTGGGCTCGCTTTGCTCACTCACTTTCTCTCTTTCTCTCTCTGATGCTCTCTGCAGGAGGTGGCAGAACTCAGAGCCATCTGTGTGGCTTAGGGCAGGTCTCTGCATCTCGGTTTGCTGAACAGTCGAATGGGGCCTATCTTACTCCAGCCAGCCTCCCTAGGGCCAGGGTGAGCGTTAAACAAGCTAACAGCATGGCTGCTTTGTGAACCATAAAGAAGCCATTAGGACATTGGGTTCTCGAGGATCTTCAGTTTGCCCACGACTATGAGAGAGCACAAGGTCATTTGTGGAGAGATAGGACTGGACAGACATGGTAGAGACATAGCAGTCCCCCTGTCCTCCCTCCCACTCAAGGTCCAGATGCCCTCTCCCAGAGGGCCCTTACGTGGTACCGTGATCTTTTAGACAGGACTGAAGAGCGTCTTGGGGTTAAAAATAGTGCCCCTGTGCCCCTGCCAAGGAATTGAAAACATTTTCACACACCAAGGCTTGTACACAGTGCCCCTGGCCCCATTATTTGCAATGGCCCAAGGGTGAAACCACACAAATGTCTTGACTGATGAATGCACAACCAAAATGCAGAATATCCATAAAATGGAATAGTATGCAGTCACAGCAAGCCACGAAGTACCGATACCCACCACAACATGGATAAACCTCCAGACATGCTAAGTGAAGGAAATCAGATGCAAAGGGCACATATAGCATGATTCCATGTAAGTGAAACGTATGGAACAGGCAAATCCATAGAGACAGAAAGTAAATTCGTGATTCCATAATCATTTATTCATGCATGCATTTGTTTACTTGTTTATTTAGAGTACGTAATACCTTTTGTTCAAAACTCAAAAATGCTGACTGGGTGTGGTGGCTCATGCCTGTAATCCCACCATTTTGGGATGCTAAGGCGGGTGGATCACCCGAGGTCAGGAATTTGAGGCCAGCCTGGCCAACATAGTAAAACCCCATCTATAGTAAAAATAAAAAAATTAGCCGGGCATGGCAGTGTGCACCTGCAGTCCCATCTATTCGGAAGGCCGAGGCAGGAGAATCGCTTGAATGCAGGAAGCAGAGGTTACAGTGAGCCGTGATCATGCCATTGCACTCCAGCCTG